TGGGGGAGGACCTGGAGAAGTCCTGCAGTCGTGCATGGGAGGAGGAGACCAGGGAGCAGGATAGAAGGAGGTCCAGTGAGGAGCGAAGGGTACGGGTAGGGCGGTACTTGGGGATCAGGTTGGTGAGGTAGTCAGGGACAGTGTTGTGAACGGCTTTGTAGGTCAGGGTTAATTATTTATTTCAGCTACTTATATAGCGCTGTCAATTTACGCAGCACTTTACATATACAGTTGCAAGAAAAAGTATGTGAACCCCTTGGGATTACGTGGAGTTTTGGATGAATGGGCATAATATGTGCTCTGAACGTCATCTAAGTCACAACAATAGAAGAACACAGTCTGCTGAACATAATACTACACAAACATTAGATGCTGCCATGGTTTAATTGCACATAACATGTAAACATTCACAGTGCAGGGAGGAAAAAGTATGTGAGGCCCTAGCTTAATGACTTCTCCCAGAGCTAATTGGAGCCAGGAGTGAGCCAACCTTGACTCCAATCAGTGTGATGATATTGGATGTGTTGCTGACAGCTGTCCTGCCCTTAAAAAACACACACCTGTTTTGGGTTTACTGGTTTCAAGAAGCACTGTCTGATGTGAACCATGCCTCGCAGAAAAGAGCTCTCAGAAGACCTACGATCAAGAATTGTTGACTTGCATGAAGCTGGAAAGGGTTACAAAAGTATCTCCAAAAGCCTTGATGTTCATGTGTCCACGGTAAGACAGACTGTCTACAAATGGAGAAAGTTTAGTACTGTTGCTACTCTCCCTAGGCGTGGTCGTCTTGTAAAAATGACTGCAAGAGCACAGCGCAGAATGCTGCATGAGGTAAAGAAGAATCCCAGAGTGTCAGCTAAAGACCTACAGAAATCTCTGGCACATACTAACATTTTTGTTGACACATCTACAATAAGGAAAACATTAAACAAGAATGGAGTGAATGGGAGGACACCACGGAGGAACCATTGCTGTCCAAATGAATATTGCAGCACGTTTGAAGTTTGCAAAAGAGCACCTGGATGTTCCACAGCACTACTGGCAAAATATACTGTGGACAGATGAAACCAGGATTGAGTTGTTTGGGAAGACACACAACAATGTGTGGAGAAAAAAAGGCACAGCACACCAACATCAAAACCTCATCCCCACTGTAAAACATGGCGGAGGGAGCATCATGGTTTGGGGCTGCTTTGCTGCCTCAGGGCCTGGACGGATTGTTGTCATTGATGGGAAAATGAATTCCAGAGTTTATCAAGACATTTTGCAGGAAAACGTACCACCATCTGTCCGCCAACTGAAGCTCCGCAGAGGATGGGTGATGCAACAGGACAATAACCCAAAGCATACAAGTAATTCAACAAAACAATGGCTGCAACAGCACAGAATACGCCTTCTGGAGTGGCCCAGTCAGAGTCCTGACCTCAACCCGATTGAAATGCTGTGGCATGACCTTAAGAGAGCGATTCACACCAGACATTCACAAGACATCCGGGCAGAATATTGCTACACTGAAACAGTTTTGTGAAGAGGAGTGGTCCAAAATTACTCCAGATCGTTGTGCAGGTCTGATCTGCAACTACAGGAAACGTCTGGTTGAGGTTATTGCTGCCAAAGGAGGGTCAACCAGTTATTAAGTCCAAAGGTTCACATACTTTTTCCTCTCTGCACTGTGAATGTTTACATGTTATGTGCAATTAAACCATGGCAACATCTAATGTTTGTGTAGTATTCCTTACGTTCAGCAGACTGTGTTCTTCTATTGTTGTGGCTTAGATGACGTTCAGAAGCACATTTTATGCCCAATTCATGCAAAACTCCACGTAATCCCAACGGGGGTTCACATACTTTTTCTTGCAACTGTATATTGTACATTCACATCAGTCCCTAACCCTCAAGGGGTGTTCAATCTAAGATCCCTAACTTACATTCGTACACATACTAGGGCCAATTTAGACACAAGGTACTTTTACCTACCAACATGTCTTTGGAGTGTGGGAGGAAACCAGAGTACCCAGAGGGAGCCCACACAGGCACAGGGAGAACATGCAAACTCTAGGAAGGTGGTGCCATGCAATAGGAAGAAGGGTCAGCCGCACACCGGAGGATAGATGAATATAGTGATGATTAAGCACCAGATCGTGTGAAATGCGTTAACAAGTCCTGTATTCATGTCCTGGTGTTTTTGTGTGTCCCATTGATCAATAAATATACACTATATTCATCTATCCTCCAGTGTGCGGCTGACCCTTCTTCCTATTGCATCGTGTGTGGTGGCGAGCCAGAGCCTGCACCTGTTGTGGATTGATCTGGATTGTTTTCCTGAGCAGTATACCTTTGTTCTAAGGCGGTGCCGTGGTTGGGATTCAAACCAACGGCCCTAGTGCTGCCAGGCGGAAGTACTAACCAATTAGCCACTGTGCTTGCCCATGTGTTCCTTTTGTTTGTTTGGGATAGGTTTTGTAGAAAATACTTGTTGGAGGTCCACAATGCCAATTTCTTCAAAATTAAAAAATGCCTGAATAGGACCATGATAAATGAAGAACTGATAGCTGTCTCAGTTGAAATTGTGTAAAATATAGTCCCTGTGCATACATTATTCCAAGCCAAATACCAGAAGATTAAGCCTATGAAGAGTAGTCGGATCACTCTTCTTCTCTTCCCTCTGGATCCCTCTTGTGAATCCCCCCCGCCGCTCACACCCTTTCCAACCAGTTCCTCCTCTCCCCTCCCTTCCCTTCCCCTTCCTCTCTCTCCTCCTTTGTCCTCCACACCCCTATCCTTCCCTCTGCCCCTGTTTATGGATCCGGGTGTGACCAGAAATGTGTGGACTGACACAGGGAAGTAGCAGGCTTCAAGAACACAGGCGTAGTCAGGGCTGGAGAGGTGGAATGGTCAGGCAGGCCGCAAGGTACTGTCAGGCTCCGCCCAACGGGATCTCTAGTGGTCCACAGCACGGGGTTTCCCAGGACGCGGAGTCTAAGTCCCAGTCTGCCTTTTCACCAGAGCCCCTGATGGTGGGGATGGACTTGGTGCAAGACTGGAACCAGGTCGCGCCCCTGGGCACCCCCGGCGCGTGTGGTAGAGGGGTCCCGAATGAGGGTGTGTGCCCGGGATGAGCCTGCTGTGAAGGGGATGACAGGTCCCGATCCGAGCGGGATGGATGGATGACTGCTAGGAGTGAGCGAGGTCAGACTAGCCGGGTCGGTATCGTGCGGGCAGCGTGGTACAGGAGGAGCAAGCGGAGAATGGTTGGGGTCACAAGCCAGGTTCAGCAGGTAGCAGGCAGCGCGGTACCGAGGATCAGGCAGAAGGATGGTCAGGAACGAGCGGGGGGTCAGAGCAGGAGAGGGTCAGCATAAAACAGAACAGGTAGAGTTTGGCAACAAGGAAACGTACTTACAGGAACAGGAACAAGATACAGGATACAAGGGCTCATGGGAAACATTTACACCAAGGCACAGATCACAGGCCTGGTCATTCCTTAACTGGTTTCAGTGTAGTACACCTGCTGTAATCAGCCCCAGGTGTTGGCTGACTGCAGAAGTGAGTTTCTGGCTGCTGAGAGCACCCGCTGGCCAGCCCTGGTACTGCAGCCCACACGGCAGGTGAGTCCCACCACCAGTGCTGAGTCCATTTCTGACAGCCCCCTTGTCCGCTCTTTTTTTCTATACTTTGGCTTTTTCTTATTTTTTTCTACGCCTTTTCTCTTTACTCACACCTTTTGCTTTCCACACTACATGTCTTGTGATAGCACACTATTCTAAACTTCTATAGTAAAAATTTACCCCACTTTCACCCTTTCATCCTACAAAAGACCATACATGTGCTTAATGTGACGGGCGCGGCATCAGCTCCCTGACCTTCTCACCAAACTCGTGACTGAAGGACTAGCCAATTCAACACCACGATATCACGTGCGTAACAATGCCATGCCCAGCTGCACCCTGCACAATGATTTTCCAGCTAATTGGACCACAATCTATGTACCGGCAGCCTGGGAGCGATTGTTACTGGGTCAGGTTAATTACGCAATTAACCCTTCACACTGCCACCACCTCCTTTTTGTACAGAGAAAGAGGAAACTCAGCAATACACTAGGATGATTGGTTAATTGTCGGTATACCGCTATCTCCACAGACAGGTTATACAGAGGGTTAAACACTCATAGTAGCGCTCTTCAGCGGCAGTGATTCGTAAGTTACATTAAAGGGCTATAGAAACAGTTCAACACTTTCAGAAAGTAAGATTTATTACTAAAAGGTCAAAAGGGTGCAGTAGAAATAGTTACAGAAAAAAGATGTAACCATATATATATATAAATATACAGAGCACAACAGCACAGCAAACAGATAACAGAAAGACGTTTAGGTAAATAAGTACTTCCCAAATAGATGCCTGGGGTTAAGCAGTTTCAAGCCTGATGAGCTCAAAAGGGATTTCTGGTCTCGTACTCAGTTTCATTGTTACAGCAAGATTCTCCTTTGCTGCGCGTAACCCCCTAGAAAGCTTTCTTGTAGAGGCCACTATGTAAATAAACCTGACAAAGTTTTCCAATTTTAGAATAATCCTTTTTTTTCTCCCTAGTCCCCAGTAGTTGGTGTTATATGTTCCTTCTTGTAAGATTATAACAAAGGTGGGTGCTCTCTTGCAGCCATAATTTCTTCTTGCCTGTTCCACATACTGTTATATTGCTATGTTCTACATACTTATTTTTTATCATCAGAATGCGATACTATTTTTTAATAACTTTGTGTGATCTGGTTAACTTGTCACCATACCCTATGAGGTAAAAGATGCTGGTATATGAATGAGTCTTTAAGCAACTGCAAAAACCCAACTATCACTTTGGTTGGAGTTTTCCTTAAATACACAGTAGCATGTAATGGATATATATATATATATATATACACACACTATATTGCAAAAAGTATTGGGCCACCCCTCCAAAGCATTGGTTTCAGATGTTCCAATCACCTCCATGGCCACAGGTGTATAAAATCAAGCCACTAGGCATGCAGACTGCTTCTACAAACATTTGTGAAAGAATGGGTCGCTCTCAGGAGCTCAGTGAGTTCAAGCGCGGTGGTACCGCGATAGGTTGCCTCCTGTGCAATAAGTCCATCCATGGAATTTCCTTGCTACTAATCATTCCACAGTCAACTGTTACTGGTATTATAACAAAGTGGAAGAAACTGGGAACAACAGCAACTCAACCACATAGTGGTAGGCCACATAAATGACAGAGTGGGGTCAGGCAATGCTGAAGTGCACAGTGTGCAGAAGTCGCTAACTGCAGCGTCAATAGCTAAAGACCTCCAAACTTCGTGTGGCCTTCAGATTAGCACAACAGTGCGTAGAGAGCTTCATGGAATGGGCTTCCATGGCCGAGCAGCTGCATCCACGCCTTACATCACCAAGTGCAATGCAAAGCATTGGATGCAATGGTGTAAAGCATGCTGCCACTCTAGACTAGTCCACTTGGATTCTAGAGCAGTGGAGACGTGTTTTCTAGAGTTTCAAATCACGCTGCTCTGTCTGGCAATCCGATGGATTAGTTTGGGTTTGGCAATTTCCAGGAGAACAGTACTTGCCTGACTGCATTGTGCCAAGTGTAAAGTTTGGTGGGGGGAGGATTATGGTGTGAGGTTTTTTAGGGGTTGAGCTTGGCCCTTAGTTCCAGTGAAGAGAAACAAGATATTTTAGACAATTTCATGCTCCCAACTTTGTGGGAAGAGTTTGGCGATGGCCCTTTCCTGTTCCAACATGACTGCACACCAGTGCACAAAGCAAAGTCCATAAACACATGGATGAGCGAGTTTGGGGTGGAGGAATTTGACTGACGTGCACAGAGTCTTTACCTCAACCCGATAGAGCACCTTTGGGATAAATTAGAGCGGGAGACTGTGAGCCAGGCCTTCCTGTCTGACATCAGTGCCTGACCTCACAAATGCGCTTCTGAAAGAATGATCAAACCTTCCCATATACACTCCTAAACCTTGTGGACAGCCTTTCCCAGAAGAGTTGAAGCTGTTATAGCTGCAAAGGGTGGGCCAACTCAATATTGAACCCTACGGACTAAGACTGAGATGCCATCAAATTTCATGTGCGTGTAAAGGCAGGCCGACCAATACTTTTGGCAATATAGTATATATGCACCTGGTACAGGATTGAGGAATGCTGTATATATTATATATTAAAAAAGACAGAAATCCATTCAGTTCAACCAATAGAAAAAATAAATAAAAAGAATAATAAATAGAAAAAATAAAGAATAAACAAAACAAAAACCTCCACATTCAGAATCCTATACCCACAGTCTAGTTTATTTAAAATTATTTTTGTTTATTTGTATCTTGCTTATAAGAATATTTTTCTCCAAACATTTTTATTTTATTTTTGAAATGTGGCAACCTGGAAGGACAAAAGAAATTATTTTTTTCCTTCGATAACCAAGTAAGCCTCTCCCACTTGTACTTAAACAAATCAAACCCTCAATGCCTGTTTAGACATTTCAATGCTGCTATCTCCACGTCAAACCACACTTAGACTTTTGTTTTATATATTTGCCTCTGCAAGGGAAGGTCGTTCATCTTACATGTGTAATTAAGCATACTTTTTGTAAACTGAACGAGCTGAAAAGAGCACTTAAAGGAGAGATGTTGAAATCATTCCTGTTTCTCATTTCACAGTGACGGTTTCCTGCTCTTTTGTGTCTTCACAAAACAAAAGGTGACGCGCTTCATGAAATAACACTCAGCAATTTTTGTGCTGTGTGTGCAAACTGCGCAGGATACAGCCGTATGGGCCCATACAATTTATTGTATATGATATGGAGTTTGGAGGGTTGTTAGAAACATTCATTTTATTTTTTCAATAGTTAGATCCAGAGCCAGTAGTGTTCAACTGTTAAAAAATAGGAATACAAAATTACAGCTCACATGCCGTGGCCCTAGTCTTAAAGTATAACTAAAGGCAAAAACTTTTTTTTTTGTAGTTTTGGAAAGAGTGGAGATGGGTTAGAACACCTATTAGGTTTTCATTGCTGTCTGTGCCTCTGGTAGGGAAAGTCACCTTCTCTATTATTATTATTATTATTATTATTATTACTACCACTTTATATAGCGCCAAAGGGTTTGCTCAGCGCTGTACAATAGGGGGGACAATACATGGCACAGTACAACAACAACAAACAACGTACGAGGGGTAAGAGGGCCCTACTCTTACGAGCTTACAATCTAGGAGGGAGATTTACCTGTTTACCGATATCATTGAAGTAAAAGAAAATCCCAAACTTTGGGTTGTCCCCAGAAAAGAAGCAGAGGAGACATCTTCCAATGGGGACCTGGGGGGGAGGAGGGGAATGCTTTGCCTTAATTTGCAGGGATTTGCTTTCACTTGCGTGGATATGGGAATGGAAGTGATGGTAAATGTCGCTAATGGGACACAGGTGGCAACAAAAAAAAACTGACAGGGGTCATAACCTTCCTTACTTCGTTCAAAATGGAAATAAACAGTTCTACTTTAAAGTGTATGTAAACCCTAACATTCAACTGAACACCCTTTTTTTGCTCCTGAGTCCCTTTTGGTCTGGTAAATATACCAGTGAAGGCATTTTGTTATGCCTGGGACACAGCAAATGCACAAAAATACATGCTGATTATGTAAGAAATTCAGAGCTGCTAGTGTCCTGTGCACACTTCATGTATTATCCCATAGAGACCTCCCACCTTTTATCTTGGACTACAAAACAGATGAGTACAGTCGGGGAATTTAGTAATTCAGAAAAAGACAACTGAGCAGGGCTGAGACCATCCAGTCCACAAAAACCTTGTGTTTTGTCAGCCCACAACAAGATTTAAGTGCATTCCAGAACTTAAAAAAGTATATTTCTATACTTGCAGAGTCTTTAAAGGGATGAAAAAAAAATTGGAATTTTTTTTTACCCTGACGTACATTATAAACTAACGTTTAGTAAATGAAAACAATGCACAAACCTAGGCCCTTTGATTCTTTAAAGTCATTAAAGTATAATTAAAGGCAAACCTTTTTCGGCCAGACTCATCCACCTCACCAGCCGCTCCACCTCTGCCTTCCCCCCTCTGCCTATCCCTCCACTGGCTCCCTATTGCCCAACGCATCAAATTCAGACTACTCACTCTGACCTACAAAGCCATTCACAACACTGCACCTAACTACTTCACCAACCTGATTCCCAGGTAACACCCTACCCGTACCCTTTGCTCTTCACAGGACCTCCTTCTATCTTGCTCCCTGGTCTCCTCCTCCCACGCACGATTCCAAGACTTCTCCAGGTCCTCCCCCATCCTCTGGAACTCACTACCCCAATCCATCAGACTGTCACCTTCCCTCCTCACCTTCAGGCGCTCCCTGAAAACCCACCTCTTCAGGGAAGCCTACCCCACCCTCACCTAACAGCCGCTCTCCTTCATTCCTCCTTCCACTCCATCCCCCACAGCCACTTCCTCCTGTACCACTACCCCCTCCCTTCTAGATTGTAAGCTCGAAAGAGTAGGACCCTCTAACCCCTCGTGTGCTGTTTGTTGTTGCTGTACTGTTTCATGTATTGTCCCCCCCCCCCTATTGTACAGCGCTGAGCAAACCCTTTGGCGTTATATAAACTCGATGTAATAATAATAATAATAATATCAGTTTTTGACAGAGTAGTGAGGAGTTAGAACACCTGAATGTTTTTTATACATGAATATACCATCAAAATCTGTGCTGGTTCAGATAGAGCGTAAGCTGTCAACACTAAATTCTGAGAATTCGCAAGACATACAAATAAAAGTGTAGTGCTAAAAGTGTAAATAGACAATAACCTACTTGAACATTCGTTAAACTGGTTGTGACATTAATTACAACACAATAAAAATAATATAAAAATGAAATAATGAGTCCCAATTCCAAGAAAAATTAGAAAGATCTCAAAAGGTGTAAAAGTGAATCTTCAATTGCTAGCTGATCAAACGTTATCCATGTGAAAACACGTGTCACCCCACACCATGCTCAAAGAAGGCTTACCAGATGTATTTGACCATGAAGTTATAGAATGGTCAAAATCAGCTCAAGAATGATCATTAAGCAACCACTCCAACCTCATCCGTAGCCTTCAAATGCGGTTCAAATGGCGTTCGCCCACTCTGTATTGACCGTCAATGCATCTGTTGTCAGGCATTAAAGTGGCATGTGCATGAAATGAAAAAGCTTCCCGTAGTATAAAATCCATTAAAAATATTTATTAAGCCAAAGAAATGCACTTACATGCTTCAAATTCAAATACAGCGCTGTGTGTCTAAAAACATCCACTTGTTCCCACTTCCAAAATGGCCATGAGTTTGCGTGGTGACGTACGCCCAGGCTCAATCCAACGCGTTTCATCACAAATAACATCATCGGGGATCAAAGGTGTACGTCTGTCACCACGCACTTATATAGGAAGATCACAGAGAGAGGACCGGCATTGATTGGTCACAATCATTCAATCGACACTGGTTGCTATGAGACAACTTTAAACAATCTTATCATCTGAATACAAATACAAATAAAACAGCACTCCAATAGGAGGACAAAGACATTGTTTTTTATAGCTGTTGGTGCCCCTGTTAAAGAGATTCCCCCTCTCTATTTGTCATGTTTACCATTGTCATCGATACATTTTGGGTTGTCACCAGAAAAGCACTAGAGGTGAAATCTTCCAATGAGGACACTAGTTCTGGTGATCTGGGGGTCCCAAGAAATTCCCTTAATTTGTTATGATTATCTCTCACTTCCTGTTTTGGCTGTGGGACAGGAAGTGAAGGTAAATCTCCCCAATGGGATACATATGGCAAAAATTAAACTAACAGGGGTTATAACCCTACTCTATCCAAAATGAAATAAAAAAGTTTTGCCTATAGTTCTACTTTAAGTGCACATATATGTTCCATCGTTAGGGTTCCTGGAATTTTAGCCCCTGGGCAGCCCCTGAAAGGTGGCACGGACATGGTAGCTTTATTGTAGTTCAAAGTTTTGAGTTGTGCCAAGTGGAGGCATGCAACAGAAAAAATGGGAAAAATACAAAACACAGAAAACAAAAAAGACCTGAAGAAGTAGAGGAAACAGAAAACAAGCAACTTCAAGTGAGGGAACACAACTAAACTGGAGACTTTGTCCTGAATTTGTTGATAATTAATTTGGTTCATTGATTGGTGTTTTCACAGCATGTGATTTACTTTGCCCACAGTTTGCTTAATAGCTTGCCCCCTCCACTGTAGATACAATACATACCTTCCTTGCCACTCCATTCAAATGCCTGAGGTCTTCCTAATTTTGGGGAGTGAGTAACTCTCCACTTCCTCCTATGATACCGTATAGCCTATGTTGGCTCCAACCAAGAATGACCTGGAGCTGACACATGGCTTTTTTAAGGGCATTGATGTTAAAAAGGGATGATGGAGGACCAAAGGCTAAAGCTTAGTATACACTATCAGTTGTTTTTGTTCAACCCAGTGGGCTGAATGAAAAAAAAACTGAAGAGCTTGGGAGGAGATCCTGTACTAACAATCCAATGTTAGTATACTGATCTCCCCGCAGAGCTATTGTGTTCTGCCAGGGGGACTA